TGCATCTCATATTCTATGCCCCTATTGGGGCGGCACAATCTGTCACGATTGGTAAGCTCAACTGGGGGAGACACTTTATGGGGACAACATCTTACCCCTTAGGTTGTCAGGCGGTGGAATGGTTTGATGATTACACTATAACTGTGGGACTATATTATAGATGATCTCTAGGCCTCTTGGTATCCCCTATTGTTCCCTGGCAGTGGTCGGAAGGTGTAGATGGAGGATAATGTACCACATTTGTAATCTCCGCGAGTTTAATGTCTGATACAAATATATTGAATTTCTTATAGACAAATTATCAAGCACAACAAAGTCTGATTCTCATAGACAAATTATCAAGCACAATAAAGTCTGATAAAGCAGATTTCACTCTGCGAAAAGCATCACTATATATCGTTGTAAATACAGCACCACGTCCAGTCTTCACCTTCACTGAATATCCATAGGATCAGACAATCTATGATGACACTGTGAACCTTGGACTCTGTATACAGAGGTTGATCTAGCGTTGGTGTAATTGTGCTAAGTTAAACATGTTTGGGCACTTTTTAAACGCTGATTTTATGATGGATTTTTAAAATTGATTGCGATAAAATATATGCATCTTAATATTTTTGTATATATTGATGAACATGGTACTACATCACTACACCTTACAAATCTCTGTACAAGGGCCTGCTTTGTAGTCAAAGCATTTGTTTTCAACCTTATGTTTGTGAAGGACAAGGAATGGTTGCTTGCGTAAAAGTGCGGCCGACTCCGAAACTCTCCTATTGCAGATGATGGCAACAAGGAAGACAGCATTGCATGCAAGATCCTCCAAAGAGATAACCCTGATAGGTTCAAAGGGAGCTAGCCCTTGCACAAAGAATTTACCAAGGAATGAGAGGCCAAGGAAGATATTTGTCCCTTTAAAGTACTCAGTGCTAAATGCTAATCCAACCCTGACTGGAAGAAGGCCAAAACTCATCCCACAGAGTACTTCTGAGGATGAAACTTCCACTGTTCGCACCAGGCAAAATAATAGGATTTTGGTACTCACCGTAAAATCCTTTTCTCTCCGTTCATTGAAGGACACAGGGAACAGATCGGAGATCATGTACTGTAGGGTAATATCGCCACCTGCAGGAGAAGGACGCTAGGCACAAAAAAACTAAAGACCAATTACAGCCTAGGGGCGGCCCCTGCCGGTGGCCAAACCCCCCACCTACTGAGAAGTCTCCAGTTTAGTAACAAGCAGTAAAGGAGTACACACCCACATAGAGGGGCGGGCCCTGTGTCCTTCAATGAACGGAGAGAAAAGGATTTTACGGTGAGTACCAAAATCCTATTTTCTCTCCCGTTCATTGAAGGACACAGGGAACAGATCGGAGATCATGTACTGTAGGGACGTCACAGAGCAGTACCAAAAAAGAGGGGTGGGCCAACAGAAACAACAAACCCAACTAAACAAAAAAATCCCCTCAAACGGCCGCCTGCAACACTTTGCGCCCCAAACCAGCATCCGCAGATGCCAAAACATCCACCTTATAAAACTTGGCAAAGGTGTGAACAGAAGACCAAGTCGCGGCCTTACAAACCTGAGAAACGGAGGCACCATGACGGAAAGCCCAAGATGCCCCAACAGCCCTTGTAGAATGGGCCGTAACAGAAAAAGGAGGCTCACGCCCCTTAATAGCATACGCCTGAGATACTGTGTCGCGAATCCATCGAGAGATGGTAGCCGACGAGGCAGCCCTGCCCTTCCGGGGGCCATCTGCAACGACAAACAGGGAATCCGATTCCCGAAACGCAGCCGTAGCACTCAGGTAAACCCGGATGGCGCGGACCACGTCCAGACAGTGCAGTGCCCTCTCCTTCCTGTGGACAGGCTTCGGACACAAGGAAGGCAGGACAATGTCCTCATTGAGATGGAAAGCCGAAATTACCTTTGGCAAGAAAGACGGCCGAGGCCGCAGAACCACCTTGTCCTGATGCAGGACCAGCAACGGGGACGAGCAAGAAAGAGCCGCCAATTCCGAAACCCTGCGGATCGAGGTGACCGCCACCAAAAAGGCTACTTTTTGAGAGAGAGTCAGAATCGGAATATCCCGCAGAGGCTCAAAAGGAGATTCCTGCAACACCGAGAGCACCAGATTCAAATCCCACGGCGGCAACGGGGAGCGAACAGGGGGAACGATACGTGTGACCCCCTGCACAAAAGTGCGAACGAAGGCGTTGGAGGCTATCGGCCGCTGAAAAAGGACAGTCAAAGCCGAAATCTGGCCCTTGATCGTACTCAAGGCCAAACCCTGATCCACACCTCGCTGTAAAAAGGCGAGGATCCTGGCAACGGAAAACAAACGAGGCGGAAATCCCACCGACTCACACCAGGCAAAATAAGCCTTCCATGTTCGATGGTAAATCCGTCGTGACACAGGTTTGCGCGCTCGCAACATCGTAGAAATAACCGCATCCGAGAGACCACGATCCCTCAACACCTGGCTCTCAACAGCCACGCCGTCAAAGCCAACGACGGTAAAGACGGATGGAACACCGGACCCTGAGACAGAAGATCTGGACGGAGCGGCAGGCGCCAGGGGACGTCCGCCACCAACCGAACCACATCTGCGTACCACGCCCTCCTCGGCCAATCCGGAGCCACGAGGATGACCGGGACGCCTTCCACCATGACCCTGCGAAGAAGACGCGGCAACAGATATAGTGGAGGGAAAGCGTAAATCAGACCGTAGCAATCCCACGGCGCCACCAGGGCGTCCACCGCATCTGCCCAAGGATCCTGGGTCCTGGCCACGAACCGATCGACCCGCCGATTGAGGCGGGACGCCAGGAGGTCCACGTCCGGGAACCCCCAGCGAAGACAGAGCTGGCGAAACACCTCCGGATGTAGCATCCATTCCCCCGGGTCCACCGACTGGCGACTGAGATAGTCGGCCTGCCAATTGTCCACGCCCGGAATGTACACGGCGGAGAGAGCCGGGACATGCACCTCCGCCCAAGATAGAATGCTTTCCACTTCCCGAGCCGCGGCCACACTTCTTGTGCCGCCCTGATGGTTGACGTACGCCACGGCCGTGGCGTTGTCCGACTGAACCCGGACCGGCCGTCCCTGAAGACGGTCCGTCCAATGAAGAAGAGAGAGACGGATCGCCCGAAGTTCCAGCACATTGATCGAAAGCCGAGACTCCTCCGACGACCAACGGCCCTGAGCCGTCCA